GCACAGAAGTGTTTGTGGTAAAAGTTTGAACCCTGCTTTATTAATGTGTCACAGTGACAAAGAGTTGGCTTACCGTAAAACTTGGATTAGAGTTGTGATGCAAGTTGTTGGTGACATGATTTGTGAAGATGTCGCTGTCACACCACAGTTTAAACTTTACACCTTTGCAGTCACAGCTGATACACGAACTAAAACACGAAACAGTTTGAAACATGCCATTGTTGTTGCTTCTTTAACTTTTATTACTTCACTAGTAGCTGACAGTTGCTTCAGTTGCCAGCAAAATAGTTTAAATTATGTAACTGCTTAATATCAATATCAATATCAATTATTTAAGATGGGGACGCCACTATGTGCGTATTTTAACCCAAATATGAGTGTAGGATGAGTGACGCGATCTTGTAGTCTTGTTAGTGACTAAGGCCGACATGTTCCTTAGACACAGCTGTTAATTAATAGCCCATACAGCTAATGGCAACTAAGGGACCTACGGTTGATAGTGGAATCCGAACCACATTTTTCCTTGTAATTTACGAATTGGTCTAATTATCAGGATAGTACTGCGGATAGTCGTAGTACTCACTAGTGCGGACGTTAATCCACACCAGGGAGCATCGCATCCACAGTGCATCCCTATAAATATCCACAATTCGTGATCTCCTAGTAGCTGGATTACAGGACGACGGCACCCGTCCCAGTATGAATAGAAACTGCATTCAAGATATTAGCAAATCTAATTTTCATAATATTTTATGAACTAATATTGACTCATTTGGGTTTTAGGTATTTCTATCATAGTCAGATTCGAGCCAAATGGCATGAGATTTTTTACTTTCCCAACTCTATTTAGCTCTTTATCAGCATTCTTTGTGTGGACAATCCAATCAGTCAGATAGGATTCGTTGTATCGAGAGGAGAAACAGTCTGATAAATTCAGAACAATATTTGGCTGCGAAATAACTGGAATTTAGTTTATAACTGATACTCCACTTAAAAAAAAATGCAAAAACTAATAATAAACTTACTAAGATTGGATTGGTAATAAGATTGGAATGTAGCATTGAGGTTTTCAAATTCTATCCAAAATATCTTCTTGATAAGCATTTTATACGATTTAATCAATATTAATATATTAAATATTTTATAATGGTGGTCTATTTATACCAGTGACACCAATACCAATCATCGGGCTAAATCACTAAATCAGAGATTAATAATGATAAATGACTCTCCAATTAGGCCTGATGATGACCTGATGATTGGTTAGCTGATCGTAATTTCTTTAATATAATTACGGCTTGTACATTTTTACAGTGTAGTAGTCCTTAAAATTGCTTTGTACTAGAACATACTGTTTCTACAGGCTGAGGTATGGTACAAAATTGGTGTAGAAACTAGTTAGAAGAATTTTCCAGCATTACCATTAGTAACACCATTTTTTCATATTTATTAGTAAACCAAAGGCTATATAACACCATCTTGAAGTGTGTATATAAATACTAGCTGTAACCCGCGGGCTTTGCCCCGTTTAACTTCTTAATTTTCAAGATTATCTCGTTCGCATGGCTCAATCACGTCCTGGTTGAAGTTTGTTCGCTACGCTCACTCACCTTTAGGTTGGAGCTCGTTCGCTGCGCTCACTTGCCTTCAGGTTAGCTCGTTCGCTACGCTAACTCGCTTTCAGGTTGAAGTTCGTTCGCTACGCTCACTCACCTTTTGGTTGCAAATTAGCTGTTGTAATAAATGTAAAAGAAATAATAGTGCTGCACCCTGTTGGTAATCCTTGTAACTTTAATGCTATTGAACATCATAGAACAGAACCAACTTGTTTAATTGAAACAGCTGTTAAGATTCAATAATTCCATTTCTCATAAGGTTAACATAGGAAACTCCAGAGCCACTGGGGTGGAGCCCGAAAGGATTTTTGAAATAAGAATATGCCTATATGTTAATCGGGAATGTGAGCTATCATCATGCCAAATTTCAGCACAATCCGACCAGTGTTTTTCGCGTTCACTTGTCACAAACATACATCCATACATCCATACATCCATACATCCAAACTTTCTCATTTATAATATTTGTAGGATATGTATTGGAATGTGTTAAAATTAATTTTATCATGTTAGTATAAAGTCCATCATTGAATTTCAAACATCAACAATCAGTAATTTACAGCTACTGACTTGTCTTCGTCTGTTGCAGAACCTTCAGGTTGGGTGAGATGCTATGACGGAAGTTCCTCTCAGCAGCCACGGTGGCGGTCAAGCCTGGAATGTTGACTCGTCGCAACTGGGTGTTGCGCACCAGCATCGTCCTCAACATCGTAGTGCTGCTGTACGTCGGCACTCACGTGGCCTCCAGGTAAACTGCCATTCAGTGAAAATCCATAGTCATTTGGCCAGATTTTGATACAGTAGAATTTGCGAGTGGTATTAATATTGTAATACTATATTGGGAAAAAAAGTTTAAAAAAGGTCAGTGGAAAAAATGTATGTTTATTCGTTATTAAATCAAACACTTTCATTCAATTTATGTGTTTTATTCAGTGATGCATACCAGACAAATAGGTAATGTGGGGTGGGAAAAAAATCCATTCTGGTGAATTCTCTCGGAAAATGTTCGATACATCTATTAAGCCGGGTTTACACGCTACGATAAAACGTAACGATTTGTCTGCAACGACAAAACGTTCATGCAAGACGGAACGTGTAAACTGGTGGTCGTTACGTTTTGTCTGAGTTGGAGTGAGGTTGGAAGGTTGGTGGAAATTTCCACCAATTTCTTTAGATCGTAGCGATTTTCTGTAGATCGTAGCGACAAGTCGTTGCGTGTAAACGGTGACTCGGTCATCTTTGCAACCTGTAGACCCTCCGATGTCGCGTTGGTCCAGTTAACAGTTGTGTAATTGTACTGTGTAGTACTGTTGTTTTAACCGCTGTGGTATATTTGTACTGTGTAGAGTAGTGTAGTATATTTTTACTGTTTTGTGTCACAATTGTCACTATGTCAGACATAAGTCAATCCTCTCGTGACTTTTTAATAGAGTTTAGGCCAATGTAGAATTAATCAACAAATATAAAGAAATTAACCCGTCTGCAGACAGGGCAATTGTCATCAACTTGCATGTTTCAGGTATTATTTTGCAGAGGGATGTTTTAGAAATGAGGGTTGTGAATTCCAAGTCTTTGAAACTTCTACCAGTTGCAAGGAATCGTAAAGTTGCACTGAGTCTTTCGTGGGGAGATGCTGCCTTTCTAATTATGGTGTTTTTTTATATGTGGAGAAACCATGCTCAATAAATCGTTGTAGGTATCCTCAGTCATTCTTAAGTAGTTCCTCCAGTCAGAGGGTTCGTTCCTCAACTCCTTTAGCAACTCCACATGAGATAACTGTTTTTTCAGTAGCCAATGCCGACACCACTTACTTCTAGGTTTTATTTTCCTCTTAAAACTTGTTGCTACAGAAATAATGTAAACAGACCATAACAATAACTCATCCATCGTCAAATATACAGGGAGCCTATTAACTACTTCACAACAAGATACATCTGGGAGTGATTTGAGAGCCAAAGTTAGAGAAAAAGACGGAATGTGTAAATGGTCCGCTCAACCTACGACAAAACGTAACGATTAGTCGTTGCAGACAAGTCGTTATGTTTTATCGGAGCGTGTAAACCCGGCTTTAGAGTCTAGTTATCAAGGTAGACTTCTCAAAATAACTTGTTATAGAGGTTCTGAGTTACTTAATGATTATATAAAATGTGTAAGAGGCACTCACATAGTGTGCTGCAATCTAAATTGTATTTTCTCCCTTTGTTAAGTCCCTTGTGGTGTGGGACAAAAAAACAAAAGGAATTATTAAATCTTAGTGGCAACGGAAATGGACTTTAAGAAGTTCTTGGAATTATTTTAAAAGTTAATGCAATAGTTTTTATTAACAACAAGAAATATATGTTAAATTGTCAAAATGCAAAGATTTTTTATGCAGAATGGACATTTTTTCTAAGTAGTAAACTTCACATGACGGATCAATATACTTTGTATGCATTCTAATATCACTTTAGCTGGATTCTGCTTGTACAAGAAGCTCATTTTTCAACTCCTCGACCTAATGGTAGTCTTGATAAATGATGTAGGATTTTGTTCAAAAGCAAAATCGAGCATCAATGTGATGTATCAAAACTGTATGATAAACAAATAAACATCACTTACAGAGTATTTATAAACTAATGTTACATCACTATTTTTAATTGAAAATATTTTGTATTGGCGGTGTTTTTAGAGATAAATTTATTTCATCTTAAATGTTTTTACCAATTATTTACTTAATACATAATTCATACAGAATTACAATTAATAGTAGTGATTTACTTCTGCAACAGCAATAGTTTCGGAATTACTGGTTTTTAAAGTCATAGGCTTCTCCACAATGAACTGAACATTAATTTTCATCATCTTTTACCTATGACAGTCCCAGTATTGCAGTGTTGGGGCAGGTTTGATTAGTCAACTGTTTATACTGTTTTAGCAGTTTGACTCCATAGCAGTATTGTAATATTGTGGCAGGTTTAGGGGTGGTTTAGCAGGTGGGCCTACTCAGTTTTTAGACAGGATGTCCAGCCCACCAAGGGATAGGGTGAACCAAGAATTGTACCAGAATTTTGATTTCCAAAGAAAACATAGTAAATTGTATGGGACCAGGAAATTGGGAATAATTCCTGATGGATTATGGCTGATTACCCATAATCCACAGCAGATAACAGTGTGATATGGGTATTACTGTGTTGGCATACAGGATGGTCAGAAGGCCATGGAAATTCCAATGATAGGTTTTGAGTTCCCCAGGTATAAAATTTATAATATCCATGTCAAAACTTCAGGGTAAAACAGAAAACAAATGTATCAGCACCAAATATTGTACATTTAAGAGTCTTTAATAGATTTAGGTTAACTTAAAATAAAAAAAATATTTTAATACAAACATTTTTATGTGTTAATTTTTGTGAATGCAGCCATGGTTGTTAGTTCCAGCCCATCGCCATTACGTCTCACTCGTTGTTTTGGGATTATACATTATGTTGCAATGTTAGCAGGAATGGAGGGCTGGACATGCTGGAGGAGCTCCAGGCTGGCGGACGACAGTTAGCGTCCCTGGATGTAGTCCCGGACTCTGGACCTCCGGGCTCAGATAACCCTGACGTCGGCTCCCCTCCACACACCCATACTGCTGCTCTAGTACAGGGTGAGTCCAAACTGCTCATTGCTATCCTTCAAAAGATAAGATTAGATTAGATCGGGACTATAACACTCCAGGTAGCACAGTTAAAGTAAAAGATTAGTGAAGGATGCGTTGAGTGGATGAGGTTATAGCTTTGTTACATACTCAGCGGGTTATTCTAGATCACTTTATAAAAAAAAGATGAATGATCAAAAGTCCGAATTATAAAAAGCTATGAGTTGTTCAGAATTGAACCAGCATCCTTCTAAATAGTAGGCAAACGCTAAAAATACTCAGCTATCCAGCTTAAGGTTTCTAGTTTAAGAAAAAAACAGAAATTTATAAATTGTTTATGTGTTAAAGAAGTGCAACCCTATACTACTGGTTATGTGCCTCTATACCAAATTTAGAAGTTGTCAGTACAATATTTAGAATGATCGATTTTGGACCCAACCACCATTCGTCATTGGCTAATTAATGACGCTTTCTCACGACATTTCCATTTTAGATACTAACAAGGGCATTGTTTAGAAGATTCCTTTTTTGAAAACTCTGCAAAATAGTTCTAGCAAGAAATACTTGTAAAATATTAATGGCCTATGCTGTAGTGTTCCCAAAGAAGCAAGAATTGAGTTTAGATCTTAACAGAAAAGTCGCAAATAGCCTAATTGTTGTTGGTGAAGTTGCTACAATTGTTTACAAAACTACATTGTCATGTTTGATGCCAGGTACTACGTCTCCTCCCGGACGTCAGAGCACCACTGTAGCCACCTCAACAGAACATAAAGAGGTAAACTGCTCACTAATATCAGTCATGTTACGAATGTACGCTAAATATCCGTGGTTTGTTTTTTTTTTCCAATATGAATTAGAAAAAAAACTTGGTAGTTGTAATAGGATCATTATATTGATCTAGTAATCAGAGTTTCAACCAATAAAGTTGTCATGTCAAGTAGTCATATAGTCTGTACGATAAAACCAGTCTCCTAACCCTTCATCTACTTGGGGACTGGCCTGGCCTTGAAGCATTGGCTAGTCTTCAAGTAGATGAAGGGTCAGGAGCCAGGTTACATCATACAGACCTTAACACATTAGCTACCAACTATACTCATCCCTCAGTTACAGAGGAGTGTCGACGGTCAGTAGGAAACGTGTTAATAAAAACATATATAAATCAAACCAAGCTTATCACAGTTTTCCCACCCAAAGCTGTTGATGAAGTAAATTTAGTGAATTTGTTAATAGGTTGTAGTGCTTAATAGGTTGTTTAAGTGTATCTTAACAAAGTCTGAGACACTAGCCACTAGGCTAACAACAGGGTCCAAATCATCTACACATAATTTGCTTCATCTATGTGAAACCTAGAGACATTTAACAGATTGTTTACTCCACAAATGATAATATGGCCACAACGGTTGACATATTCTGATTAGCGATTAAAATACTGACATATTCTGACAGATGCAATTGACTAAGTCCACGTTTTCGTTCAGTCGGTATGAACTATGTGAATGTGTAGGTGAGCAGCACAGAAGGTATGGAGTCTCAGCGGTCGCTGGCAGACATCATAGGTTGTGTGGACCGTACACTGGAGCCTCGTACAGAGATGAGAGGGGACTACTGGGTTTTGTACAACTACGTACCAGCCTCGCGACAGTTCCATTGCTGGGAGAGCATCACCTACACCACACACGCTGACTTCACCTTCCTAGACAACCTGGAGGTGAGACAACAGAACATATCTTAGTGCAAGTAATACAAAAGATTTATTAAATAACTATCAGATATATTGAATTACAACTAATTTACCTTTGATAAAACTTTTTTAAATGCTGATCTGGTCAAACTACATTTGGGCATGTTTCGAAATTATGTTAAACCTTTTCTGAAGAAATGAGATTAGTTTTTCAGGATTCTTGGTGTGTGAGAGATTAGTTAATTAATATGTTGGAATTCTTGAGCCATAGGAGTAAAGAGTTCTAATGTTTACTGTCATCATAGTGGAGCGCTCATGAGTCATTTACTATAAAATTAGAGTTTTAGCAACTAGCAATAACATCAATAAAAAATAAGAGGGCCTAGGAATAGCTCCTACACTTAATTTTTTATAACTCTTTACTACTATAGGCCTTTGCCATACGAAAGTCATAATTCATATTATTAATTCAAAATACCAATCTATAAAAAACATTAAGTTGCTAAAATAACTTAAATGTGCCTTCACGAGGGTCGTGAGGACAGTTGTTGACGCAACCCGTATGACTATGTCTATCTATCTACCATAAAATCTGCGCTGAATGATGATAAACGTGGAATGGAATTTGGCTGGTTCTCTGTATAACTGTGTTGTTATTTGACAGACGCTGCTGGAGCGATGGCAAGGACCGATCTCGCTGGCGCTGCACGCCCCCGGTACAGACCTCACCCCTACTCTGGACACCATCCGCTACCTCCACGAGTGCACGTCGGCACCAGTCTCTGAATACGTAACTTTCCATGTTTACTTCCCGAGCAAACATGTGCCCAAACAAGTTCCTCACTTAGATAAAATATTTAGCGAACACTTTAACTGCTCCAAGCCACCGCCTTGGACGGCGATTCCGGCCAATACGATATACAAAGCTCAAAAGAAACTTTTATACCCGGTGAACGTGGGCAGGAACATTGCACGTGAGAGTGCGGTTACTCACTATATCCTGCCGAGCGACATCGAGCTCTACCCTAGTCCCGGTGTGATCCCGGACTTCCTGGAGATGATCAGGAGGCAGGATCCCCCTCTGCTGCGGCAACGACCCAAAGTCTTTCCACTCTCCATCTTCGAATTGGAGTCCAACATGAGCCTTCCAGTAAATAAAAGTGACTTGGTGAGTTTGTACGTTTGTGTGGAAGGTTGCCTGCCTCACAAGCTTATAAAAGTAAATGTAATGTATATGTTTATTCCATCATTCGTGTCTGTTATTGTACTCTTTCCGATACTTTTTATAATAAACTTTTACATATTATGATATGTATCACTCACATAATTTGTATGAAATGGGGACGCTACTAGGGCGTATTTAAAAAAAATGTGTGGAAGATAAGTGGATTGTGGGATAAAAGAGACACTTTATGTAGCTTTTTTACTGCCTGAGATCAGCTGTTTCAGTAAGAGGTTGGCCTTGAAGAGATTTGCTGTGTAAGTCGAACTTTGGAACAGTGTTTTAACTTAGTAGACAAAGAAATTAAAGTTCTTATAATACCCCAAGTCTTTAAACACTGGAATGGGGAAAAGTATATTTACCGTTAGTATACTTAGAGCTTACAAAATAATATATCTTCACACTCAGAAACTGTAAAAAAGACTTAAAATGATATTTAATAGCTATTTTTAATCAATCTTGTCCTCTATGGTACATCCATTTACGTATGAATTTAGAAACAGCATTTACTCAAATGAATTGCAATATAGGTCTCCATGTTGAAAAATGGATCGGCCATTCCATTTCACAAGAAGGTCTGCCCAGGGTGCCATAACGTGCCCAAGTCTAAGGAATGGATGAACACTCCTGCCAGTGACGGCCTCAGGGTCTTCCACATCGGGAAGCGGACAGGCTACTTTGTACATTGGGAGCCGATCTTCATCGGAACTCACCAAGACCCACTGTACGACGAGAGGCTCAGTTGGGAGGGCAAGAGTGACAAGATGACTCAAGTATGTTCAGGAATATTCTCATCTTTCATATAACTGTCTCCATTTGGTTCTCTCGTTGACGATCTCATCCTAGCTGTAGTTCATGTACCGTAACAAACTTTTATCAAAAAAGATAAAAGATCGTAGTAGAATGAGCGACTTGTAGAGAATTAATTTTCTCCTTTAGTTTTTGATTCTTTAATAATTTAGACTTAAAATATTATGTATTATACAGTGAACATTTCTTTTTGGTTTGGCTTGGTGAACAAGTCAATGTATGTATACACAGAAATCAGTAATTTATTTTAGATTAGAACACTATGTTGCTGGCTCAACTGAACTGTGTGGCTGTGTCCATTAACATTGTACGAGGGCTATTCAGAAAGTAAGAAACGTTCATTCTGAATCCGCTAAGCGCGCACCGATCTCATACATTTTGGTGCGTGCCTACTCGGCAACTCAGTCGGCATCCAGCCGTGACAACGGGATCATCCTAGCGCTGCCCATTTGTTTGTAATTTTAATTTAAGATATGCATTGCGATTGAAAATGCCGCCAGTAGTGAGGTGCGGTCAGTGATACGGTTTTTGTTGCCAACAAACTTAAAACCGATTGACATTTATCGCCAAGTGTGTGAAGTTTATGAAGGAATTAATGTTCTTTGCAAAAATGGTGCATTCAGTTTTAAAATGGCCGAACTCATATGGTTCATGAGTCATGACGAAACCTTTGACTATCAATACAACTAGACATTCCATACCCATGTTAAATTTGTAGCCAGCTTTTTATCAAAATCGTCGTAGTTGATACGAAACTAAAGGCGGGGACACACTTGTCATACACCCTTCCGATCCGACTCCGATCATACTGTGGTACGACTGTCGGAGAGGGGAATGGTACTTAACTTTGAACGCGGTTGTTTACACCTCTCCGACACGCGTCACGTCATACTCCGATCCTACTCCGATTTTGGCTCCGATCACGCACCGACACTGCAGTCTATTCGTTTGTCGGATGCAGGATGGGTTGTTTCTTAAAAATCACCTTTATTCTTAAGATTTAAGAATAATGGTTTAAGATAAATATATGCCGATGCTTGATGTGAAATCTGTGCGTGCATACCTTCAATTTGAGACATCGATCATGAAAATCGGACGGGTAGAAGAGCCAATCGAACTCAAGAGAGAAAACCCAATGTGCTTAATATATAAGATGGCACTCAAGTAAACCACCTATAACTTTCTTTCCATACAGAATGAACCCAAATTCTTCGTTTTCCACTGCCCTTCAGAGATGTCTGACTTTCTTCCTCTTCATCTAGACAAACCACCATCATGGCTGAATCCCGTAGTCCAAAGTTTTTGAACATGTTTACCACCTTCCGCACGTAGTTTACAAATCAGACTGGCAACTGTTGATTGACCGGTGGAGGAAATCGGGCATGGGTTGGAATCGTGTATGACATGTGTGTTCACCCCCTCCGATCCCGCACCGATCCTTCTGGAATCCCGCAAATCGGATCGTAGTAGGATCGGAAGAGTGTATGACAAGTGTGTCCCCGCCTTAAGGGCGGATGCCTGAGCTTCCTGACTGATGGAACTGGTCGCTAGCTAAAACCACCAATTCACGATAACGAATCAGCTAAACTATGTGTGACAATTTCAAATAACAAAGTCCATGAAACTTGAGGGAAACAAAGCAATCATCAGTTTTCAGTTGGTGGAACAAATGTCAAAATATGACCTTATTTTGAAGGTACTTGAAAAGAAAGTTTTTTTGTTAAGATAAAAACTGACAATATAAAATAGTGCTCAAATTTATATATGTTTATTAACGTAATTATATTTATAAAATATGGTTATAATGTTGTACGTCAAAGACTACAGACAATTTTTATGCCGTTTCTGACTTTTTCACTCTGTTTCAGGGCTACGTCTTATGTGTGTTAGACTATGAGTTTCAAATCCTAGACAATGCATTCCTCGTACACAAACCCGGGATCAAGACACTGAAGAAGGATCCTGCAAGAGCGCTTTTAGCAGGAAAGACCAACTCCCTCATCCGCAAAATCATCTTCCCCGAACTTCGAGTTCTATTTGGAGTAAGAAAAGGTTGCGCCGTCTGACAGTCGTATTTTTCTCCTATGTTTCCGCATTTCCTGTTCAGGTATTAATTTCATCTTATTTTTGTAAGCAGAATAATATGTGTTTTAATGGTAAGTTTGATATTTTTAAACTCTTCTTTTTAGAGATTCTATAAACACTGTTGAAATTTGTTAATCAATGATTTTGACACTTATTTCAATCCTTTTCACAAACAGTACAAGTAGGCCTGTGGTTTTGGCACATTATGGAAGGCACAGTGTAACATAAATCTATTTAGTAGGGTTTGCAAAATTGAATTAATTCATTTATTCAATTAAATATATTAAACTATTTATTGATAGTAGAGAGAAGAAAAATATTCTAAAACATTTGAAATCTTAACGTATGAAAGCAATTAATTAGAGAATTAGCCATTTCCGGACTTATGATCCTACATTAAAGCCAACATCAAATTCAAGATAGTCTATAAAATCCCACACGAAATGATCAGCATTTAAAAAACGTTTAGAAACACAAGGCATGCCATACTGAAATTTCTAAACAAACTGTTGCACGTTGCATAACTCTACATGTGTACAGACAGATTTTCTCAATTGGCGTTAACTGGTGAACACCTCCACTACAATACCAGAAACAAAACCAACATTGCTTTAAACCGCGGCAGATTAGAACTTTACAGTAAAAAACCAAGTTATACCGGCTCCAAATTTTACAAAAAAATTCCAAATGAAATTAAATCGGCAAAAAGCATGGTGGGATTTAAGAGGGGTCTTAAAACATTTCTCATCAACAAGGTATTGTATTCCCTTGATGAACTTTAAAATTTTAGAAGGAGTGTTAATTTTTAATTTGTATAAACTTATGTTAGATTTTAAGAACTTTGTATCTATTGAATGTAAGAACATTGTAATGTAAAAACATGTAAGAGGATGACACTATTCAT